TGGAAATTCATTCAATTTTCCCCCAGGTCTTCTCTTCCTACTCTGTATGGATCTATCCATATCGGATATAATTATCACCATGTCGTATGAAAGTATCTTCGTATATACCGGATCTCTGAAACGGTAAGAGCTACAAAGAGGGTTGAATGAGGGCAAAGTTGCGCAATTTTATGACAAAATGCCGTTTTGAAACATTTTGAAATATGAAAAATTCCGAATATTTCCGATGAGTTTTGGAAAAAACCGAATATTCGCTATTTCATTTTCATTTTCTTCCTGACTCGAATAGATCGAACAAAACAAATCGCACATTCTTGTTGCTACTTTCTTCGTTCTACAAGATGTTGTTATCAGATTTTCAAACCGAAGTTTCGTCTTTCAGATGCCATCATCAACTGTGTTCTTATGAATAAGGACCTGTAGTATTTATCATCGGTATCAAGAGCTTTCAATTTTCTGAAATCAACAGAGTTTTACTTTCATCCGAAAAAGGTGTTTTTTTTTTATCCCTATTGAAAATCTATTCATAGTTTCTTTCCAACACATGGGTTCTAATGAGAAATGCTATCAATATTGAATTTTCGAATAAGCGTGATACATCGTTGGTCTTGGGAGATCAAAAGCTCTTGAAAACACTAATGAAAAATCCAGAGCCAGGTAGCCGTGCGGAGAGAGTGTTTATATTCTAATCCGTATTCGCTTGCCGATCGTGGGTTCGATTCCCATCGACTGCAGAAACTTTTCTGATGGCCCAAGAAAGTGTTTGGGATCACACGTTGAAAGGTAAGGCTCCCGTCATTCCTTGCTCGCACAAGACTTTCGAAGACTTCTGAGGGTTGCTCGTAAGGGGGCAACCGAATGACGGATAGAACAACACCATTTAGTAGAACAGAAAAAGAAGCAATGAGAATGTGTGATTTGTTTTGTTACATCTATCCAAAAAGAGTCAGAGCAAAATGAGAATGAAATCGCGAAGTATTCGGATTTTTCGAATTTCAAAGCGGCATTTTGTCATCAAATCGTGCAACTTGGCCTCCATATAACCCTCTCTGTAGCTCTTGCCGTTTCCCATATGCACCTAGCAAACAATGAACTACCGGGCGAAGTCCGGTCTAGTGCAGGCTAGTATGGGAAAGAGACGATGCCGTGGTATAGGTAATGGGCTGATGATTTCCCTATGCTGTGTACCCATCAGTAATACAAACGATGATGGCCTTGTGATAGTAGGATGTCTGGAACCAGTCGAACACAATAACGAGTTGTGGCCCTTGGCTGGCCAATATCCTTTTCGCTACTCGTCCCCCTGGTGGATGTTCTGGGAACGTCTACATCAACAATCAGCTGATCATTCGGATCATTATAATATGTGACCTAGTGATAGCGTATGTTTCGTTTTTCTCTAATTTGTTGTTCAATATTGTGCTCCTCACTTTCCCTGGTCGTTATTTATGATGACAGGAGTATTCTCAATCGATAATATAGAAGATGGATTCTTCAATTATGATAATATTGAGTAAGTATCAATCTATACCTATCAAGTGTTTGGAATTTTATTATGAGGTGCATTTGATTGTTATCTCATACAACCTCATATACCTAGTGATCATAATAATTGGAGTGGCTCTACCTCTCCAGAAGCATCCAACTATCATGTTTAACTCGTTCGTTGATGGCTATCAAAAGCTCAGGTTATGTAAAGCTGTCTCTATCATTGAAGTAAATAACAATGAGGTTCCAACTGCAGAAATGCTCGTGCCAAAAAATTGATGGGATTTCAAATCTCGATATGTTATCACGTTATCAGACTATATGGATCGAGTTATGAACTCATGCAACAGTATTCTGTTTCTCATACTCCTATAGAGGAAGAATTCTCATATCAAGAAAGACCACTGATAACTGATGAAGAATTTTATATTCAAGAATCCATTTTGAAGGAATGCTACCCAAATTAGATGTATAGATATAGATCCCAGCCTATAAACAGTCACTCTGAGAAGTTTTATCATGTAAGAAGAGAGAGGTTGAGAAGATATCATTGTGTCATTCATAAATTGTTTTCTTGAAATCTGGTATGTGTCTGCTTGATATATGATGAGAGGATGACATTAAAACATATAGAGTTACAAGAACTTTCAGATCCATTGGATCCCTAAAAGCCCTATCCCCTCCCCATACCTCGATAGTATGTAACCAATGTCGATAATTGGCCATTACAGATCCATAATTTATGTAAGTTCTGAGCTCGCTATGGAAAACTTGATGTGTCGATTATGTTGTACTGGCGTTTTGCCGGGGAACTGAATATGATTGTTGGGTATCCAGCACTGGGACCAGCTGCCGGTCGCAGTGTCCTGATATTGATACATCAGAGTCCCGCATACGGGACCATTTAATGAGCCGCTGATTTCGGGTATAGGAAAATTTTATCAGGCCATTAATGCCCTATATCAAAATGTTTGATGGGCATCTACTCGAATGTCACTCACCCGGTATACCCCCTTTCGTAAATCAGTTCGCTAGTGAATAATTGTGTCCCACCTCTTCTAATCCTGAACGGACTGAGATAGAATAATGAAAGATAATCTAGGTTGCATTAAAACCAAAATACGACGTTCTGGCATCTGGCTATAATAGCATGAGTAGATTTTGAGGGCAGTGACGGTGGGCGAAACCAACTTTGCAATTTGTGATGACAAGCGAAGATATTTGGATCTGGACAATACACTCCTCTAGCAGAAAAGTGCAGTTCTAATGAGTACACCAAAATTTACAATTTCATTGAACAAACTATAGGGCTTTATCTATTTATGTTTTCTAAAAGTCACCATATTCGGAAACTGATTTACTAATGACGTTATCTAATTCTTCTTTCCCAGGAGCATACCCAATATTCGTGGGCTGAATTGATTTTATGCATAAAAAAATTATGATCAAATTTTGAGACATTGATATTTGACATTGGAATTTTGACATTTGCAATTTTGTTTTTGATGTAGCCAGATATTTAATTTGAAATATAATCATTAATAAATGGTAGTGAAATGAATATGTCTTGGGAAATGCTAAATTGAGTTCTGGCCTGTTTTCCATTCTTCGAATGAAATAATTGCATGATATTATTTGAGTTGTAGTTATTATTGTGATGTTAAATTCAGCTTTATATTGGGTATAACACGGTCAGTTTGTGTGGGTTTTCTGTGAATGCTGAATTGAAGATTGTCAGTGTTTTTGTGAATTGTGATATCTGAAAAATTCTATTTGTTATTCGATTTTATTTCCAAAGTGAACTCAATATTAGGATGTACTTGGTTGATTTTATTCAGAAGATTCTAAGCAGTACCTATGTCGCCCCTCAAAAATATCAAACAATCATCGACATATCTAAGCCAATGTAAAATTTCAGGATTGTTATCTGTAATAATGTATTCAGTAACCAAATTATTCATGAAAAGAGACAGACCTTCAGGTTGTTGATACAATTTGTTGTGGAATACAAAAATGATATGATACCTTATGCAATCAATTACAACATTAGCAAGAAATAAAGCTTCCTTAACTAATGGTACAGTTTCCGTTTTGGGATCCGAAGTGGAAAGATGACTTACAACAAAAGAAATCATTGAAGAATTGAGTGGTAAATGTAAGGGACTTAAATTATTGATTAAATCAAGAGTTTCACTTACCGAATGTGTATAGGTTTGGAATTTGTTAATTCTTTAAAAAGTTCATGAGTAAATGCAGTTAGAATTGAAACTGGAGTATTGGTGAAGCTTCAACTACTAGTCTAAACTCATTTTCGCCAATATCTAATATTGTTGAATTGAATTTGGAACTATGTTCAAATATCTAGTTAAATTTGTCCACACAGTGGCAGAAAACGTATAATTATTTTTTACAATTTCTTTCAGATTTTTTGTCATACGACTGAAAGAAGTTGATATATTTGCATTCTTATTGTCAGACCTTGAGAAGCTTTTGATGAGGAATTACTTTCATTAAAAGAGTTTTCGATATAAATCGATCAGGAATTGAACAAAATAATAAAAGATGACTTCCACTTAGATTAATCTGATCAGATATTTGAAACAAATTTGCTATTCTTGTCGTCTTTTCTTCATTATAATTTTCAATATTGCCGAAAATAGAGGTACTTTACTCATGAGCAACATTTATATTCTTCGACGTACCTCGTATACGACTGAGAAATCTATAACTTGTATTTTTTGTTACAGGCCTTGCAGAATTTTGTATGAAGTGTGACTGGTTTTCCTAAAATAAATGATAAAACAGTTTTCCTCCGATTGGCAGCAAATATTAATTTTGCTGACACATATCAATCAGCAAAGTATTACTTTTCCTGCCTAGGCAGCAAAGTGGATACTTTGCTGCCTAGGCAGCAAAATTAATAATCCATAAATCGTTTATAATTTCCTTCATATTTCATCCGAGACTTCCCCGGCAACAAATTCTACTCTATATTTCTTGCCACCTCCCTTATTTCTGAAGGTTTAGGTACATCCAGGTCGCTATCACTGTCCATCATATAATAATTTGAATATACCGATATTTTTTCGCACAACTGTCAGAAATTTCATGAATTGGCAAACTATAATCATTATGGATATTTCCATAGCAACCAACCATTCCAACAACGAGTTCTATCAAATTCAATATATCATTATGAACAATCGGAGAAAAAATTATACGTTCAACTCGGCAGCAAAGTAGATTGACTGCCTTAGCTGGATTCCTAGGTGGCCTCGCTACGCTCGGCTATGAATTCAGCCTCGGCAGTCAATCTATTACTTTGCTGCCTAGTTAAACAAATAACTATTTCCATTCATTGCTATCTTTCACAGATAAACTGTATAAATGACCAAATGATATAATCATATATATATACTTGTCTATCCCGCTTAGTACCAATTTCACATTCTATATTCCTTTAAGCAGGTGCAGTCTCCTTGTATTCTGAATGATATTGTGTCTTTTTACAGAATGAGGATAAAAAGAAGCCTTCGAGAGTATCAATCTTGGACTGGCAGATATCAACCCTCTGGTCACCTGTATACGACTTATCCTATTTTCTCTACGCAGTTTGTTCCACGGACCAACTGGTTCATTTCGACGATCTCCTGGTCCTCTATTACGACTCCTTTTCGACATATCTATCACAATTGGGCAGCAATCCCGAAGAACTCTTTCCGTTTTCGGAGTTGAAAGAGCACTGGAAGAAGTACTCCATATTCGGACTGATACAGATGACAATCATCCTGAGATTCGCCCTGTGTGACAAAGAAGATGCACCTTCTCTCACCGATCTCACGGAGGATAGCAATTTCGCGGAATTGCTAGATTCGATTCCTGTCACCGAAGAGGATCTGTTTTATGAGAGGATGAAAGCTGTCATGTGTCATTATTTCGACAGTACTGCATGAATCAATCAATCAATCAATCAATCAATCAATCAATCAATCAATCAATCAATCAATCAATCAATCAATCAATCAATCAATCAATCAATCAATCAATCAATCAATCAATCAATCAATCAATATCATTTATTGTATCTGAAGAATCATATTCTTATTACAAGAGAATTGGTGAGAGTCAAATTTATATTATATACAAATGTGACACTGTTACAGGAGTATGAAAAAAACTGAGAACATTTCGAGTACAAAAAGAGACTACATCATCATAATAGATTGAGTACTATCCAAAGAAAACAAATAAACAAAAAGAATTAGAAAAATGAGACTAAACAAAAAAGGTAAATCACCCATTAATGATGAAAGATCGTAATTTTAAGACATTCATGATGCATGATCCACAGTGTGTCCCACTTACCATGCTCACCATGGGTATCTTTTTAACGGTGAGAGATACGAGGTCGGTTAAATGACACCAAATTTGGAGTTTGTCAAGGCCAACTATAATGAGAAAAAATATTTTGATAAAATTTATTCGTTTTTGTTTTATACGCGAAAAACAGATTTTGATCATTTTCATGTCTCCTCCGTAACTTCTTTATATTTATGAAAATATTCAAATAGGAATTTCACATTCTCGGGGCAGTTTTTCAAAGTGATTTCGAAAAGAATATGAAATTTATACCAACTCTTCTAGAATTTGAGATATCAGCACCAACTTTAGTTTTTCAAATGTAGGTCATAGCTCACTATGACTTAGTTACAAATAACTTTTTTTTCTCTCACAGATGATATGTCGCAGTAATAGTTTTGTGTTGATAACAACGGAGTTATCGTCATTTATACAAAAACAAAAAAAGATTCGGAAGCCGCCATCTTGAATTTATGAATTTTAACAAAGAAATCATGATCTCCGACCTCAAAAACCCCCACTTACCAATTTTGAATGGAATCGGACCAAATCTTGTCCGCCACTTGAAATTTGGCGGGTCTTCATAATTTAGGTGACAATACATTATGGAATTTTTGTTGAAATTAAATAAAATGGCTGCTCCAAGATGGCGGACAAGATTTGGTCCGATTCCATTCAAAATTGGTAAGTGGGGGTTCTTGAGGTCGGAGATCAAGATTTTTTGTTGAAATACATAAATTCAAGATGGTGGCTTCCAAATAATTTTTTTGTTTTTGCATAAATGACGATAACTCCGTTGTTATCAAAACAAAACTATTACTGCGACATATCATCTGTGAGAGAAAAAGAAGTTATTTGTAACTAAGTCATAGTGAGCTATCACCTACATTCGAAAAACTAAAGTTGGTGCAGATATCTCAAATTCTAGAGGAGTATGAATTTCATACTTTTTTCTAAATCACTTTGAAAAACTGCCATGAGAATGTGAAATTCCTATTTGAGTATTTTCATAAATAAAGAAGTTATGAAGGAGACATGAAAATGATCAAAATCTGTTTTTTGCGTATAAAACAAAAACGAATAGATTAGATTCAGATATAAAACAAAAACGAATAGATTTCAAAATATTTTTTCACATTATAGTTGACCTTGACAAACTCCACATTTGGTGTCATTTAACCGACCTCGTATCTCTCACCGTTAAAAAGATACCCATGGTGTGCATGGTAAGTGGGACACACTGTATATAGGAGATATGAATGAAATATGTGCTAAAGTCTCCTCTCTCTTGCAGATTACAAATAGTACAGAGTTCTTCTGTGTTGATAATGTAAGCGGAGCCATCTAAAGTAGAGTTCTAATAGTGGTTTTCTACATGTTCGAATTTGAGCAATAATTCTGGTAATGTGTATTGGGCAAGCAATTTTCAAATATTTTTGGCTGGCGTCGTACAGCGTTAGTGACTGATATACATGGTGAAAATTTGACATTTGGAATTTTTTTAAAAATTTTGTTGGCTAACTTTTTCGATGGGTTGTTAATTACTGCATGAATCAAGTCGATGGCTATATCCCGAAGTCGATCTGCTGATTCCATTCCAAAATCAAGAAAATTCACTGTATGTGACAGATCTCGAGAGCAGAGGTTCTATCCCTTCTGAATATTTTCGACACAGAATTTGGTGACCACCAAATGGTAGTGTGTAGTCAGCAATCTGTTAATAATGATGTTCACATACTTTTATAACATAAATATGTTAATGTTGATTCATGATTAACGAAAAATATTATTCAAATTATACTCTTTAGGTCTCGAAACTGGGTTTGCTCGATTTGTCGTCGATTTGCCATCATGGGATCCCTTCTGAAACAATTAGTTACTGGTTCACGTACGAATTATTTTATTTTTGATCAGAAAAACAAAGTCAGTGCAATTACTGACACTGCTGGCAGTTGAATTAGGAATATAGCCTGAATTCGCTGATTTTCCATTTCGAAATCAACAAAATTTATTGAGAACTAATCTCGAAAGTTAACATACTGATGAAGTTACTGTGTAGTCATCAAAATCTGCCAATAATGAAGTGATGGACTATTTATAATTTTTTTCTGTGGCGCGAAAAAAGTTTGGCATTTCATCTCTGTTGGCAGGTTATAGAATGTCACTTTTCAAAAATTATTTTTTTCCCGTGGGAAAAAAGTGAGTACTTTTTCCTCGGATATATATCACATATTTATATATATATATATATATATACACTGTTGATGGCTTTTTGTTGTGCTAAAATCAGGGAACACAATCTCAGTTCCGAACTTATAGTTCCTAACTCGATCTAATTTCATGACTGTAAAAGTAACTGCAGAAACGTTGCAGCATATTTTGTTCGATTGTCCGATTTACAATAGTCTCAGGATACCAAACTGTGATCGACTCCCGAATGGCCACTCGTTGATTGACTTCATCGACAATCTTACTACACTTGAATGCAAAAATATTGTCAACTATTTATGGAATATACTGAAAACCAGAGCATTTTCAAGAAACGAGTAGCACTTTGTGATATCATCAACTTTGCCTCATTTCCTTCTTTCTTTCTTTATGTATTTTTGTTATTTATCAAAACTGTCTATATTTGCATATAAGTATAGTGGCAATTATTATAATTCGCATTGTACATATATTCATGTAAACATATCCAAGTGATCATCAGAATTAACCGAATCCTTGCTAAAGGACTGTAATGTCTTTGAAAGCAATAAAGAATATATCTATCTATCTATCTGTGAAAGTAACTAAAAATGGCAGATCATGAAGTATCATCATTCCACAGAATATCACAATACAAAAAACTCGAATTATTGTTAGCTACCTAACAATTACGGAAAAATATTACCAGAAAGTTCAAAAGTTTAAAAGTTCCGAAGAAAAAGAGTATAGGAGTTTGTCACGAATAAATTATGCTGGCATCCTGACGTGAACTCTCCTATTCACATCCAAGGTAATTTTGTAGAAAATTAGAGAATTGAAACAATATAATTATACTTGATGATAATCGCGTCCATCAATGCCTAAAGTATAGTGGAGTGCCTGTTTAATGACAGCCGAAATTATCTTCATTGGGAAGAAGATAAGTGAAAGTTTTGGGCATATTGGGTGTTTTTGAAATAAGTGCGAAACGATAAACAATATTGAGTAGGTACTGTATGAAACGTGATGAGACGATGCATCAAAAGAAGAACATCCCTTGGCAATTTTTTCATGAATTCCTTCTCACCATATACGACATCTTCTATAGCTAATAGCTATTGTAGTTCCGGCAACATTGTGAAAATCAAACGTTCAAATAATCAATCATTTAAGAAAGATCCTAGAAACTTCAAATTTCGATATCTTCAGATCTTTTCTCGACAAGAATGCACTTTCAACTTGTTCATCTCTTCATTAGGTACGGAAAACCTACCCCTGTGGCCCATGTGACTTGAGATATCTATAATATCTGGATGATAAAAAAGAGGTTGCTCAAATTGTTTTCTAGGGATGTTGTAGGGTTGAGTTTGTTTTTTTCGTATAGAAACCTATTGAAAGGCAGGAAAAAAACTAACATTTTTTGCTGCCGACATTCGACTTATCTTTTGATAGATGTTCACCTGGAGACATTTTGATACTCGATGAATATAATTATGATGATGAATTTGTTTAGATCTGGACAAGAAGGAGTGATACCATATACAGAAAGTGGAAATGCTTTCGAGGTTATTTTTATATGCTTTTTCCAAACAGAAACATGAATTCATGAAGGATAAGTCATAGCTGGTGGCTGTGCACTTGAGAAAAAAAATGTTGGGCAAAGTGGAGATACCTATGGCTTTCATATGTTGTAGGTTATTGAATGCTTTTTCGAAAAAAACCAAAAACTAGAGTTTAGAACTTTTTTTTCGACGTATTTTTTTAACTAGACGACCCTTCGATGTTCAATTCTCAGTAGCAGACCTCTGCAAGATTCAATTAATTACATGATCATCCATTTTAATTTCAATCTTCTTATGCAACATTTTGACTGTTGAATAGACGATCGGTAGACCTTTCAATCAAGGTGTCACATGACCCCTATTTGTATTTGAAAAAATCGTCCATTACGTCTTTACTCCAACACCGGTGACGTAACATCTCTCATATGAATATTATGAGATGAGGCTTCAGAAATTAAAACACGTGTTTTTGGAATTTTTTCAAATGTCGCCCATTTCTGAAATAATGAATCTATTCCATACATTTGCATCATACTGTATATTCATTATTAGGATTCCAGTTATACTAGGAAATTTCCAATTTGAGTTGTTTCATCAGAAAAAAAAATACTGGAACAAAATATTTAGTCTCATTTTTCAGGCAGTTCTCATTAACTTGCCCGTGGAATAACTTTGACAATAATTATACAATATCCTGGAGATATACCTTATTGAATTATCAACAAACTCTGAACTTTTATTGGAATCGTCTGAAACTTCTTCCAGGTATCGATGGACTTCAACTTCAGAATCTAACCCCGTGACGTGGAGATGAGACGTTGTCGGGCATATGTTTATGGTAATTTCTCTTATATTTAGACCCA